GGAATTTGCCTGGGTATGGGAAAGCCCTGTACAAATTGCGCAGCGCTGGGAGGGTGGGTGGGAACGGCTCACGGGTTAAAGGGTGCTTTGGAGGACGCATGGGCTGTAGTGGCCTATGATGTGCCCTGGCCCTCTGGAATGGAAATCTGGTCGTGATGTTAAACGGAGGGATTATTGGAGCTACAGCGATGATGTTGATGGCGTCAGGCGCAGCTCCCTCAGCCAGCTCTCGTGGGAGAGCGAAATCCTGTGCTTTCCCTGAGTGACATTTGTATACGCGTGGGCACCCTGGGTCAGGTGCCTTCACCCATCTTCACATCGGGTTTAAGTGTTATTCTGCCTGTTTGATCTCTGCCTGGGGCTGAAGCCACAGCTATTTCCAGAGTAACTGCTGGAAGTGAGAACCAGGGACCTACTACACCCGCACGGAGGTTTTCCAGCCAGCACCACCACTGGTGGAAGCCAGCTAAGGAACCCGCTCCCACCGCAGGCCAGCCGTTCCTCTGCCTCCCGGAGAGAGCGGGGTCCAGCTGCGGTGGGCGTCTGCTTCGTCCCTAACCGGGGAGCTGTTGCCTGGGGTCCCCTCCTGGGGGGCTGAGCAGGGTCAGGCACCTTGCTGAGCCTCCTCTCCTGTGCAGCTTGCTTTCAGAAGACAGGACGGCTTCCCCTGCTCTCGGTCCTCTCCGGTTCTGTTCTTTCTCCGTATCCTTATGCCTCGCTCTCTTGGGAGTCCGTCGGGCAGCCTGCTGGGCGTTTGGTGCAGTGTCGCTCCCCCTGTTCTCAGTTTCTCAGAAATACCCAGGCAAAGTTTGTTGCGCGTCATTCTAATTGAACGATTTTCTGCTCTTTAGGTGGGACCTGGTTTTCTGCTGAAAGCAATCAGCCCCCCCGTCAACTGATAGTGAGAGATCACATAGCAAAATTCTGATGTACTTACGCAGTGACTTCCTTTGCCGGCCTGTTTATTAATAGAGTTGAACTGTGTAGTGGCAGAGCTTTGGCCTGTGACAAGGGTTACATCAGATAATAAATCGAGATGGCTGATCTCAGCTAAAGGAGCAGATGCCAATGCTTTCTGAGATAAATAACAGAATTACGCACTCCTTTTTCTGCTTTTCCTGGATGACTTTTATTATTTAAAGATGGAGAAAAAGGAGCCTGGCCTTTAATGACCTGTTTTCAGCTTGACCCGTGTTCCCTAAAAGCAGGCTGCGTAAGCTGTGGTGTAGTATTTACTGCAATTTCTCTGCCGTCGTGCTCGGGACACGGACTAAAACAGCGCGGAGGTTTCATGCAAGCTGCTTTTTGGATTGTCGTGGGAGAAGAGCAGGCTGAATCAATGTAAAATCCATGCAAAGTTTATTATTATTCATGAAAATGTGACAACACTGGCTGCAGCACAAGTTGACCAGACTCAACTTTAGTCTCCATTGACAGAGAAGACAAAGGGTGTAAGAATGTGGGCGAGCCCATGCCGGGATTGCGAGCTGCTGCGTTACCAACAACGAAGAATACATTTATTCCATTTTTCACTGGACCCAATCAATCCTTATGCGAACAAACCAACGCTGGACAAAATTTTTCTTAAGTATCTCTTCTGTATTTTGAAACGGTAGAGTATTTTTTAGATCTGTAACAGGTTGCTGCAAAAAGAGCAACTATTCTTCAGGTTTACAGAGGAGACTTGCAGCAAATGACTTTTAAATCAGGTGTTAGGAAAACAGTTTGTGATCGGAGAATTAAGCATGGGAATATGTGGTACAGGAAGAATCCCCCCAAATTGATGGCTTTTAGTAACAAATTAGGAAAATGCATCCTTGATGGCTTAGAGGTAGTCGATTCTATCCTTGGCCAGGTAGCTGGGGGAGGAGGGAAGAACTTAGAGATATCATTAGTTTCTTTTTGGACAGTCATCTCTTCCTGGCTTGCTCCCCTCTCCCCCGCGTCTCTCGTTGATGGATAGCTGCAGTGTGTTCAGCAGATTGGCTCTTGCCTGGTGCTCCATGTCTGAGGTCAATTTTGCAGGTTTCTGGGGTGAGCGTTGCCTTGATTTAACGTCAAAGGAAGTCTCCCACTGCCAGTGTCTCCCCCTGAGAAGAAGAGGGTCACCGGAGCCAGTGCAGCCTCTGGACTTGTGGCCAAGCTGGTAAGCAGCAGGACCACCAGCAGCAGGACCACAAGGGTAACTTCACATTGCAGGTCATCGCGGGTGGAGGTGTCACAGGAGATGCTGTAGTTTTATTGGACGGGTGCTACCAGACAAAAAAAAAGTCAGGGCAAGTCTGGCTTTATGTAAGCAAAGGGCCTATGACTGGGCAAAAAGAGAAATCAAAACTGTAACAGAAAGACTTCTCAGTCTTGAGTTAAAACTAGACATGAGCAAGCACTATTTTTTACTGTCTGGCCGTGGATCTGAGCTGGGGACAAAGGAGCAAAAAGTCTGCCTTGTTAACAGTGCTTTGGGTCACTGCTCTACCAAATAACTCTCAAGCCAATAAATACAAAACTGGAAGGTCGTGTTAAATGAAGATGCTTGCTTGGAAGATCTGAGCTTGGTACAGCAACCACCAAGGGGAATTCTCAGGGGTACAATGATGCAGAAGATCATAAATGATCCTTCTGGGCTTACTGTCAAATGTGCATCAGATTGAGTAAGAGGAGCTTGTCCTTATCATAAAACAATTTGTGCAAGAGCAGATGAGACAGAACACACATTTTCCCATGAGTTTCTTAACAGAGCAAAGTGGTTTATCAATGGTCTGGTCAGCATTTGTTCTTGATTTATGACTGTTGGTCTGTTGTTTGCTCCGTAAGAGCTGGCTCTGGTGTTTTGCACAGTATATAGGTCCTTAAAATGAAAAGGTACGTGGTTTTGAACTTCTTTATCTTGCAAGCATAGACAATGGGGTTCATGGCAGAATTGGCATGGGATAAGAGGATCCCCAAGTACATCAAATACTGGGGGATCTGACTCTTGGGGTAAAAATAGTAAACGCAGTTTATAATGCACAGAGGCAACCAGGATATTGCAAACAGGAAGAGAACAAGCGCTAGAGATTTGGCTGTCTTGAACTCCTGTCCATAGAAAGCTCCTGCCCCTCTGGCATTGGTTGCACCTTGTCTGAGCTTTGTCCGGATGATGTAAAAGATTTCAGCATACAGAGCACACATGATGAGCAGAGGGACAAGGGTCCACGTGAAGAAGCCAAAATATACCATGTAATCCATCCTCATCACAGAGGTAAATCGACACTTGAGAAAGTCCAGGCTTGGTTCTCTCTTGTTCCATCCAAACATGGGGACTAATCCTACCAGGAGGGACATGGACCAGCACAAACCCAGTGCGCACCAAACTCTCCTCTCTGTAGTGATTATTTTATATCTGTTGGCGAAGAAAACCCAGGTCGTGTTAAAGCGTTTAAATGAGTTAAGGATGGTTTCAGGAACTCACATGTTCAAACGCTACCGGTTCATTGTCACAAAATGGAGCATTAACTTTTTTTGGAGGAGGGAAACCAAATATTATTTTGAGACGAGCCCTAACTTCATTTGTAAGTTACTTTGCAGCACCCATAAGAAGAACTAAGCTTAACTTCCCCTCTTTACAATTGGAAGTTTTCAGCTATTTTGTTTCTTGTTTCATTATGATCCTAGTGCTCCTCTTGCCCAGATATTCCTGTTCTACCATTAGCAGTTTTATCTTATTTCTCCACTTTCTTGGGTGTACTTTACTCTTCACATTTAATTTATGCTATTTGTAGGACCAAGCTGTTCTTTCACTCTTCGATTTCCACATTGGAAAGGTCCTTTATATGACTTTTCGTGCCTGAGGTTATGCTTTGCATTTCTAGCTTACGTACTTTTCCATTCGAATGTAAGAAGTGAATGACTTCTTAAGTTAGCCCTTGATAAATCTTTTGCTTATTTTGTATTTTCAGCAAACACTAAAAGGAATTTTATTTACAAGACTAGCCTCAGAAACCTGAAGGAATCTATAGTACTCTCAGCACCCTGCATAATTAACAAAACGCCTCAAGGATTCAATTGTTGGACCACAGACTCATCTTGTGGCCAAATTCTGACCAGCAATGACACCGAGCCGGGGGCTCCGCATGAACACCCCCGGGGCCTGTCGGCGCTGCATTATCGACTGCAGAGGCTGGTAACTTGTCTCGGCTGGGCTTCTAGGCATGGGTATTTTCTCCGTGTGCAAGCACGCATTTAGAGTAAATGTTTGTTAGAAAAGGGCCAGGTTAAGGGGGAGAGAGGAGGTGGCACCCTGGGGCAGAGGCTGGGCATGGGAAAGCTGGCAGGAGCGGGGCGAGCGGAGGGGCCCGTGGTGGTCCAGCGCTCACCTGGTTGGCAGTTTGACTCGCAGGTACCTGTCGATCGCGATGGCCAGGAGGGAGAGGATGGAAGCGTTGGTGAAAACCACCATCAGGCAGCACATAAACAGGCAGGTGTAGAAGTGGATGCTGATGCCCAGACTCACCACGATGGCCAGGGGCATGACGAGGACCCCCACCGCGATATCGGCCAGTGCCAGGGAAACGATGAAGTACAGAGTCGTGTTCTGAAACGTCGAGTTCAGCTTCACCACCCAGATGACCAGGATGTTACCCAAAGTGGCAAACAAAGCAATCAAGCACTCAGTACCGATGTAAATCCCATCCAGGCTGCTCAGCTCCAGGCTGTCATTTGGCATGGCGAGCTGCTGGAGATGCTCCTGCCCTGGCTTGAGCTGCAGAAGGGCGCATGGGCACTGATGACCATGTGTGGGATTCGCCCTCGGTGCCTGATGCTCTGTGGTTCCGGTGGCTCTCCGGCACGCACACGTCTTCCAGTATTTCACGTGTCCTTGGTGCTTGGGCAGCAAATTGGCTGTTGCCCTTGCCAGAGCTGCAAATACCTTAGCATCTGGGAAACGTCCCTCCCTCTGGACACATCTCCTGAAGCTCACAGCATCCCTTCAGCAGCCTGGTGTCGGTAAAGTACTTTGGAAAGCTATTTTGAAGGGGGAAAAAAAAAAAAAAGTAAAAGCTTCCACAAGCCTGCTTACCAGCAACCCATAAACAAATACTTTAAGTACTTCCTCTTCTAAGTCACGGTTTTAGTAGTGGGACAACTGTAACCGGAGTTGACTGTGCAAAGCTGCCACTTATCAATGTAGATAATCGCCCTGCAGCACTATAGGAAATGAGGCAGTTCAGGGGACCTTAGAAGGGTGTCTCATTAAATTCCAGTGCTTGATTTAATCCATGGTATACGACTTCAGTTAGGGCTCCGAGGTGGCCCAAAAATGCTCTTTGCTTGGACCTTTCTCAGGCTGCCAAGAACACTCGTGATGCAGGTGATGTTTTCAGTGAGAGCCCTCATTTCTGCTAGAAATTGGTACGATGACCAACCAAGTCATGCTCAGGGAGTGGCATACTGTCCTATGCTTTCTTTATGGACGACGGAGAAACTGAGGGAATGTGTGGGAAGTGATGGGGAGTAGTGGGGAGAGGGTGCGAAAGCCGTGATCTGTTTGCTGCGGGGGAGCCCGGCAGTGCGCGGTGCCTTCCTTGCGGCAAAGGAGCTGCTCCCATTTCAGATGAAACTGGGAAGGGATGGAAAGCTGGGAGCTTGTGTCAGCCGGTGAGTCGCAGGGTACCCTGGCTCTGGGATTGATCAGAAACGTACGCTCGCCGGGAGGGAGCAAACAGCAAGCGAAGGATAGGGCAGGTGGTACCATATCGGTGTAACGAAGCCTTAAGCAAACACGGGGAATCCTCGGTTTCCCAGGCGCTGGCTCCTCCATCTCTTTCACCCAACTTGCTGGCAAGAGCGAAGATGGGGAAGTGAAATCAGCCCTGGGAGGAGACAGAGCCAGAAATAAATGAGACTTCTTTATTCTCTGCTGTCAAAAGAGTTGGACAGATCCCACTTCCCTGAAACCAACCCAAGTGCTTCTTGCTCCTGCCTGGAAGGCGTTTTGGTAGAATTACCGCTGGGAGAATGGTGAGCTGCCTATAGACAGTCCCAGTCTGCAGCTGAGCTTGGCCGTGCTGGTTTGCTAACCAAATCCAACACAGGACACTGGTGGGTGCAGGACCTAAATCCCAGGAGAGGTATGTGCAAGGTCACGGCTGAGCTGTACGGGATGGCTTGTGCAAGCTGGATGAGTTACGTCTCTGGGAAGTATCTGGGAAGTACCTAGGAAGGAGTGGGCACTGGCACTTTGCAGCTTTGAGCAGACATGGGAAATGTCTGCGTTCTCCTGGCTGCTGGCCGCACTTGCAAGAGCGGTCCCCACTTCCTGAGCTCGCTTGACATCAGCTGCCAGTTTCCTTTTTTCGTCATTTACTCCTATGGCTGCAGCCAGATGCCTCCTGTACAGACAGCTACTGCAAAGCTGAGTTACGGGGGCTTTGTATGGGCCCCCCCCCCCTCTGCTGCCCTGTGCCTGCTGTAAACACAGCTCCCAAGACCCAGAACGTGGGACTGCGAGGGACCTTAGGGGAGCAGTTTGTGTAACAGCGTCAAAAGAAAATGTTTTTCTTTCCATTTGTTTTTTGCTCACCCCAAATCCAGCTGAGTGTCTTCACATTCTTTGTGGCAGGGGAAGGGACCAGATCATTCAAGGGCCCTTGGCCATCTTTTCTCTAACCCCTGCGCCTATGCCGCGTGCCGTATAGACTGAGCGGGCTCTAAAGAAGCTCAGAGGCTGAGCAATCGAGCTGCAGTACCACGCAGCTGAGCATTGGCCATCCACCCTGCCAGGCAGTGCAGGACACCCAGCTGGGGAGGAGATGGTGCATGTGGGGCTAGAACGGACCACCAAACTACCACATCCGACAGGTAGCCCTGCGGTTTGCTCTTAGTGTGATGCATATATAACCGCTATATAACACCGACTCTTCTGCAAAAGCTTATGTAAATGTACTGAAGCTCCAAGGAGACAGAAAGATGTTAGAGGGTTTGTTAGAGAAGGTCTGGTAAATGGACAATTTGCTCATCTTTAAAGAGTGAGTTGTGTATGCAGATCAGAACACGGGCAGAATTCTGAATGAGGGACTTAATTTAAGGCAGATCAAGGAGGAGCTGGCTTCTGACCCGGCTGGTGGAGGAAAAAAAAGAACTAAGCACGGCACTTCTTGATTTTGGATGTAAACAGCCTCAGATATCCAGAATGTCAGTGAGCGGCCTGGATGTGATCTACATCACGCTGGAGTCTGTTATTGGGATATTTGCAGTGGTGGGCAACACTTTGGTGATCTGGGCAGTGAAGCTGAACCCAGCTCTTCAGAAGACCACCTTCTTTTACATCATTTCGCTGGCACTCACGGACATTGCCATGGGGATGCTGATCACGCCGCTGGCTGTCATGGTGAGCCTGGGAGTCATCACCCATTTCTACTCCTGCCTGTTCATGTGCTGCCTGATGATGATCTTTTCTCATGCCTCGATCCTGTCTCTCCTGGCCATCGCAGTCGACAGGTACCTGCGAGTGAAGCTGCCAACCAGGTGGGTCTGGGCAAAGGTCCCATCTCATCATTTTTTCCCCATTTCTCTCCTCCCTTATATTTTCCTTCTCCCTTGTTTGCAGCATCCTAGGGCTCCCTGGGCATCGCTGGTCCTCTCTCACGCAAAGGCAGAGGTTCCCAAAGTGTAGGCGAGGGAGCCCCAGCAGTCTGGGCACTCCTGGGAATTTAGCAGTGCCTGAAAATCTTAAGCTACAGAGAGTCAGGGAAGGGTTGCTCATAAATGTGTATTGAAGTCTGAATGAGGGGGTGGTCTTTAGGTTTTCCCCTGGGAGACACCAATACTGCTCTTCTGGTGCAGGTCAAAAGGAACCAGCGTTTCTGAGGCAAGGTTTTGACCCTGCATCTGTGGGCTCCCATTTAAAAGGGATCAGTGAATGTTCAGAGGTTCCCCTGGGGTTTCAAAGTACATTTTAAATGCCAGAAGCTGCTAAGGACCAACTGCACCAAACTGTGCTTAGCTCGAATGAGGCCAACCAGAAATGAGTGCTTAAAAGGCCAAGTTCCTGAATGTTGTCGTTCTTTTTTCTGAAGAATCGTATCTAACGTGGCTGATGCTTCCTGCCCACCCAGGTACAGGGCAGCCATCACGAAGAAAAGGATTTGTGTGATTCTGGGACTCTGCTGGCTCGTGGCCGTGCTGGTGGGGCTGGTCCCCATGATGGGGTGGAACCAGCACATGGGTGGCTCCAGCTACATCGAGTGCCACTATTTGGCTGTGATGAGAATGGATTATGTGGTGTATCTCAGCTTCTTTGCCTGTATCCTCCTTCCCTTGCTCGTCATGTGTGTCCTCTACGCTGAGATTTTCTACATCATGTGGATAAAACTAAGGCTGAGCTCAGCAAGTCCTCCGGGAGGAGGAACAATCTGTGGGAAGGAATACAAAATGGCCAAATATCTGGCCCTCATCCTCTTCTTGTTTGCGATCTCTTGGCTGCCTCTGGGCATCCTGAACTGCATTGCATACTTCTGCCCCTCCTGCACCATCCCGCTGCCTCTGATGTACCTGGGCATCCTGCTGTCTCATGCCAACTCAGCCATGAACCCCATCGTCTACGCCTTCAAAATACAGAAGTTCAAAGAAACATACATTTTCATTTTGAGGACTTACATCCTGCTCCAGAAGTCAGAGTCGGTTATTTCTAGCTCAGGGCACACAGCGGAGCAGCTGGAAGCGAGCACCATCTGAGCTGTGCTCCGCTCGTCCGTCTGTCCAAAACAGCGTGGGAGCAACAGGAGTGGGGTGAAAATGGCACGGACAGCAAGACACTTGTCTCAGATCATGTGTTCTGGAGCAACAGTTGTGTGTATTTATCTGGGTTCAGCTAGTTAAGCTCTGGACAGTGCAATGCTGCATTCAGGTTCCTAGGTAACTCCCAAAATAAAGAAACTCCTTTGCATGGCTGAGGCAAAAGGTGTCGGATGTTTGGACCAGGGTGGTAGCTCGCTGGGGAAATGCTGGCTGCGGGGGAGAGATCAGCGTTGCTCATGCTTTTGGGTGGTTTGCTCTCCTAATACAAAGCATCCCTGTGCTCTGCCGGCCAGCGCTGGGGTTTGGCGGAGCCCGGGCACCAGGCAGCAGCTGCCGGGAGGCTGCAGTGGTTCCCGGTGGGTCTGGGTCCCCACAGCTGCCCAGACAAGAAGTGGGGACCTTCCCCACCCTCCCAGGGTACCCATTTCTCTCTTGGGCTGGCCCAGATATTTCTGCAGCTGCAGCGTGAGCTGGGGCAGGAGCCGTCTCCGCAGAAGCTGAGTCTGGCCATGAAACACAGCCCGAGGCTCCTGCACGCAGCCCACCGGCGCGGTTGCCGCTAGCAGGAGACCTGACAGCCTTTGGAGCTACTTTTGCCCCAGGTTACGGCTCTTCCTTTAAGAGTATTTGCTTTGTCTTTTCAGCTCTATTTAAGGAAAATGTTTCTCGAACTGGTGGAGCTACAAAGAGATGCCCTGGCGTGTTGCCACAGACCAACCCTCTCTATAAATGCTAAGGTGTTAGAGGATGTAACAAGAAGCTGGACCCTGGCTGCCGGATTTCTGGGTGCACAAGGAGCAGCACAGCAAAATGCAGGCAGGAGGACCCAGGGGCTGCTGGTAGGAGGGTGCTTCATGGTCTGAAAATACTCTGACCTGACTTGATGGGGCAGCAGCACCCGCTTGTGGAAAGGTGCTTTGGAGCAGAAGGGAAATGAGCAGCCTTTGTGCATGGGGTTTTTTTGTACCAGCCCATAAAATTTAATTGTGTCCTATTGTCCCATAACCTTTTCTTAGAAGGCAGGTGCTTTCCCATGGGGACACTGTCTCAGTCTAAAAGATGCCCACAACGCTGCTGGTCCTACCAGGGCGCAGGCTGTTGGGTTTCTGGTTTTATGTCCTTTTCAGCAGCTGTGGACTGGAGATGTGTTCAGAGAAATGCCTGTCTTCAGCAAACCCGTGCCAGCGTAGGTGTGTGACCTGGGACTGGAAACCCACTGCTGATGGGGGCGAGGGGGCTTGCGGCGCACCCAGGCTGCGCGGTACTGCGAGCCCACGGTTCCCGGGCTGCAGGGGAGGTGAGAAAAGCTTCGTCAGCTCCTTGCATGGCCCGCAGGCCAGAGCGCCCACGGGGCTGCTGCAGCCGTCCCCGCGAGAGGAGGGGACCGTCCCCTTCCCAACAGGTAGGTGACTAATCTGTGCTTCCCTTGCCCCAGCTCCCCATGCTTCTAAGGAGAAATAAAAGACCCTTTGGGCCTCCACCCCCACTGATGCAGCCAAGGGCGATGCCGTCAAACCCAGCTGAGCTGCACCTGCCCTGGCCGGGGCCGAATTGGGACGTTTCCACCCGGCACCCCCTGTCCCCCCTGGGTTCCTGCCGGGGAAGGCACAAGGTACATTTATTTTCTGCAGATGCTTCCTCCGCCAGGCAGCATCTGTTTCCTGTCCTAAATATGAAAGGACCGGGCTGCCGGGCTCCTGCGACTCCTCCGTCACCGAAGGAGGACAAGGCTGTGCCCTCCCGCTGCCTCTGCCCTGCAGGAGCGCGGCTTCGCCCCCAGCCCAGGGATGCCCCGGGGGGCTGCAGGTGCTGCATCCCTCCTTGCAGCCCTGCATCCTCCTTCCATGGGCGCTTGGCTCCTCTCCCACCGCCCTCCTTCAGCCCCAGCACCAGGAACCACTGGCCTGGAGGCTTTTATGGCTTGCAAAGTGATGAAACACTCCCTGCACAGAGGAGCCAAACGGGGCCGGAGCATGGGATCAGGGAGCGTTTTGGTGTGGAAACCAGCTCTGCCCTCCCCTTCTCACTGTTTACTTACAGACCCCGACCGAAGGGCTCCGTCCCTTACCCCTCCACCAAATCGCTCTCCCGTAAGCACACGTTGTGCCCCTGCCGAGAGGCTTGGGGAAACACACGGCCGAGCTCAGGCAGCAGAGCTCTGTGTGTCGGTGCTGGCAGCCGTCGGCTGCTGACGGCTGAGCTCTGTGTGTGCATCGATATCCACTGCCCTAACACACAATCCTTCGGCTAGGTGCCTCGGTGGGGTTGGAGTGTTTGGACGCCTTTGTTGCCACACGCAGTAATATTTTTTCATAAAAACAGTTGTGATTTGAAGCAGGCTGCCTTGTGCCGGCCGATAAAGCTGGCAGCAGGAGGGACTGTGAGTTAAGAAGGATCGGGCTCGGCTGCACGGGGGTCCAGGATTCATTTTTCCATTCCTGCATGGTATGAGGTGGGCATCAGCCATCGAGCAAAGGCAGAGAGTCTGTTGGATGTCTCGGCAATCTGCTCTGGACAAGCGGGAGGATGATGCTGGGGTGGATGGTACGGTCTCCGTCAGCCCCTGCGTTCATGGCCATCACTGGGGACTTCAGCACCCACCGATCCACAGCCTCCTCCAGCTACCCAGGGTGGCTCTGTCCATCCCCGTGGCTGCATTGCTGTTGAGAGCTCCTGGCTGTAGCTCAGAGCAGCGCCCAACGTGCTGGTGTGACCCAGCCCGAGGTGAGGAAAGGACCAGACCCCTCCTTGCTTCCCGCTGCCTTTTACTCCCAGTCCTGCTACGTGGCACCCAGCCGCCTCTCCCGCCCCCGGCTCCTGCCCGCCCCAGGCTGGGCTTGGGGAGCTGGAGTCACCCCTGAAACTCAGCCATGGGTTTGCTGCCGCTCAGAAGTACCCGCCTGCAAGCGGACTGCAGCTGGAATAACTTTGTGAGCCAGCAATTTAAGGCTTTGGTTTAGGTTAGGATTCCAAGGTGTATTCTGGGATGAGGTTATACCTGGCTGACACGGCGATGCCCACAGAGCTCTGCGGAGAAGGTGGCTCGAGGAGGAGCCCGTGCCCGGCGCAGGTCGGGCTGCCGGGGCAGCTCCCATGCGGCAGAGGCCAGGGATGCCGTAGTTCGATGGGGTTAAACAGCGTTTCAGATCCCAGTCCCTGAGCACTTGATGGATTTGCCATTTAAAGGCTGTAGTCAGCTGGCTTGTTTCTTGGATGGCTCCAGCGAAAGGCTTCCAGCTATTCCCCAAGGATCCTCCTACATCCTGGTGAGATAAGGATCAGGAAGGGAAGGGTCTATCTGCAGTCTCAGCTGGGCTTTGAGCACAGATTGCCTTCTCACATTGCTGGTGGAGGGGAGGAGAAGAGATTTTCTAGACAAAAAAATTATTTCTATGACACATAGATGCAGGGGAAAAAAAAATAATCCCACAATAATGATCTTATCGTGTGAGTCAACAACAGCAAGAGCCGCCTTTGTTCTGGCAGGGCTGCAGAGCAATTTTGGGGAGCAGAAAGCAGCTCCTCGCCCACAGCGCTGCCCGCACGCCCCGAGCCCGTGTGCCCCCCAGCCCCAGCCGGGCCCCCTCGCGTTCAGGCACCGTCACACCGCGCTCCTGCTCCTCTTGCCTTACTTTGTGGCAGCTCCTGCTCTTGGGCCAGGAGGTGTGGAGGTTTGGTTTTTTTTCTGGGACTTTAAAATTGAATGTTTACCTTCAAGGAAAAAAAAGCAGTGGCTCATAAACCAAGAGGTGGCGAGTGGTGAGCGCTGTCCTGGCTCTTCCCTGCCTTGAAAGGAAGTGAAAGCAAAGCAGAGAGAATCTGAACGTGAAGCAGTCTCACATCTGGTTTAACAGAGAGTGGTTGTGGTCTGGTGAACACTGAGCCAGAACGAGAGTCTGGAGCCTGGCGATGGTGACCAATGTCTCACCGCTCTGTGCCTCAGTTTCCCCAACTGTGGAAAGAGAGGGGGTCAACCGCATTTTGATAGAGGGCTCTGAGAGCTGGGAAGGGCTGGACAGAAGCAGGGCCCTTTTGGTTTCCACTCCCATTTGGGCATCATTTCACCTGTGCCCTGGGGGTTTGGGGGCACGGTGACGTTAAAAAAGCGCTGTCAGTATTTGTCACAGATGGAAAACCTGAAGAAAACTCGCCTGGTACACATGGAGCTTTGCTGAAAGACAGAGTTCACTGTCCTCGGAATCCAGATTTTGTTCCAAAGATGATTTCAACCCACTGTCAAAGCAAATTGTCAGTGGAGAATCAGATCTGGAAAGCTGCTCTTCCCTTCCACATCCCACTCCCTGAGCTTGAACTGTGCTGGCAGTCAGATTTCTCCTGGTGCCTCACCCACAGGGGTTTGAAAGCCAGAAAAGGTGCAAATGCCTTTCTGCTGCTGAGTGCTGGCCGGTGCTGCAGCGGTCATAGGCTCAGTCTGGGCTGGTCCTGAACGTTGCCTAAAGCAGAGCCGTAAAGCTGGAGAGCGTGTACAGCGCTGGACTCGGTTAGCCCAGCAGTGGCCGGAGCTGGCAGATGGTACTGCAGCACAGGTAGCCCCCAGAGCACAGGTAGCCCAGAGCACAGGTAGCCCCCAGAGCACAGGTAGCCCAGAGCACAGGTAGCCCCCAGAACGCACGACCGCAGCCCTGCGGGGCAGCCTTAGCCCAGGGTCTGACAGTGGGAGCGATCAGGGTGGTAGTAAGCAGTGTAAATGCCACGAGGACCACGGCAGCGCTGGGACAACCCACCGTCACTGGTGTTCTCTTGGCATGTTAACTCCTGGGAGACAGCAATCTGTGGCTTTGCCTGGTTTCTCAAGGAGCAGGCGTGGTGACCTCCTGCAGAGGTGGCCCGTCCCTCCTCCCCACCGCCTGGCCCTGCGAGTGGGAGCGGAGCACGCGGCATCGCTCCCAGGGCCCCACAGGGCACCGCAAAAAGATGTTTCCTGCCAAGTGGGTTTGCACGTCTCCCGAGCAGGTTGCCAGCCTTTGCC